CCCCCCCCCCCCCCCGGAGTTTTACTGAAGTCACCTGGAGACATTCAAACACAAATGCATCAAAAAACTGCACTTTCACTTCAATGAAATTGAAATGCTGATTTCTACAATCCCAGTGCTGGGTCAACAGTAGTGTAAGTGTAGTATTGAAGTATTCTGGGAGATGGGAGATGGGCCAAATTCAATACAGTATTTTCAGCATATGGCATTTAACTTTATCTGAGCCTGAAAGATCTGATGATGGCTGTAGAAACTAAAACCTGATATTATTGCAGTTTACTTATAAAACTTCTACATATGAACTGAGAAACAAAAATGCTTAATTTCATGAGTAATCAACATTGATTCACAGGTGAATGGATCAAGGTTGAATAAAGGTTCAAGTTTCAATTTTACAAATTAAATCAACATTGATTTTAAAATGTAGTTTCAACATCTTACTTTTCATATAGATTTTCAACGTTTTGTCTTCAACTAAATTTCAATGTTAATTTATACATATTTTGTTAACCTTTTTACAAACATTTAGAATTAAATGTGGTTTCAACTATTTTCAACACTGAATCAACAACAACTGACAGATTCCAGATGTGAACGTTACTTTCAGACTTTAAACTTCACATGCACAGGCTCTTAACAGCTTGTGCGGCACATCTCAGGGTGAAGGATGAGGCAGGAAAAAATGATATTGGACATGACAAACTTGCAGTCGATGTGTGAACAGACTGAAAAAATGGGCCCAGACTGCTGCTCATTTCACATTTGAAGAATGAACAAAATAAAAACTTAAATGTAACCGCTCTGGGGACAAAAAAAACTAACATTGTGAAAAAAGAAATAAACATAAAATAAGATAAATAAAAAAATGACCCTAATATATGATACAACCCTTATACCATAGTCTGTCAGAATATTCGATTATGATTGGCTGGCAGGTGTGCATTAAAACTGTTTAATGTACAGGTAGTTCCAAGTAGGGCTGCGCTAAAAGGATATATCGTTTTAGCATCGATATCGCGATGTGAGCACCTGCGATAGTCACATTGCAGGATGTGCAATGTTTAGTATACTGATACTGACCGTTATATAGCGACCTTTGCAAATCATTTGAACTTTGCATCAGTACATCATAAATAGAACGAGAAATCAGTTTACTGTCGGGGATTTTTATTTTACATTTGATTATTCAATTTCTGTAGGACCTGAATACTGTTAGACTTACCTGAAAAATATAAAGCACTGTTTATTTCATTTGCATCTTTGTTCTATTATATTTATCTATGCTTGCAATTTGTTTATTTCCTATGCTGTTTTACTCACCTACGAAATCACCCCAATCATTGATAATTTTTTTCCAAAAAGAGTTATTCAAGTCATCTGGTGATTTCTTTTTTTCATATCGCAATATACTGTATATATTGCAGAAAAACAAAATATCGCAATGTGAGTTATATCGTGCAGCCCGAGTTCCAAGTCAGTTTAATCATGCTCTATATTAATAGGCTGCTTTCATTTGACACACACACACATCGGACATCGTACTGCGCACACATTGAAACATTCAGGAGTGACTTGTGGTCAGCCCTGCCCATGACTTTTATTAATAAAATAGCTTCGATACTGTATCGCTACATTATATTTCTCAGTAACAAAGAGGTAAAAGTTTTTGAAGTAACTAAACACAAGTAAAGTAACTCAAGTAACTAAAGCTTAATTGTTTGTAGAGTGAGACTTGCAAACACAGGTCATTTACACATGCTTCACATAACTTCAATCCCCCTTTCTCTCTAGATAACGAATTCAAATAATAAATTCATTCAACTAAATGTGATCTTACAGCACTATTTCATCTCTGTGTCTGATTCAAAGCAGGCAGAATGCTAGATCTAACAAGCTGTAACTGATGAAAATAACCACAAAATGCAATGATATTACGCGGCGCCTGAAAATAGTCCACTCCCTGTGCAAGCAGGTGGTTACGTTGGTTATGTTGACGGAAGTTAGCCTATTTTCAGGCGCTGCGTAATATCATTGCACCTGCTGCACCCATGGGATGGCAGCAAAGTTCCTTGGTTATTACGCCGGAATGAGAGTATAGCTACTAGCCATATCGGCCTAGAAAATTCGAAACTTTTCATTTTCCGTCAGTCTTAGTACACGATGTAACTACAGAAGAGTCAAGTTTCAAATAGGAAAAATATAGAAACTCTTTGGTCATTTTTGAGCGAGATGCTAACGGTCTAATCAGATTCAATGATCTATGCTAAGCTACAGCTAAAAGTGCTACTGCCAGACCCGGAGATCGGCTGAATGGATTCAAAAACGGTAAAACTCAACTGTTTAACTCTAGGGGAGTTGGAAAATGAGCCTATTTTCAAAAATGGTGGAGTGTTCCTTTAACTTGTCAATGCTGGCAAATGGCCAAACAAGGCATAGCATTATTTTCTAATAATTCAACCGACCAGAGTCACTTATTCCGCTTATACTACGGTTACACCTCAAATATTGTTCATATGTTGTATTTCAAGACATTAATTCGTCCTTAAAACGCTTGTGTGTATTTAACTTCTTACGCATTTCAACCCATGCCTCTGTTGCTAATTCCAAAACTTAATTTTAGACCAGAGTAACAGTGGCTTGAGCCGTTGATAGCAGACAAATGCAGTTAATAATGAAGTAATTATAGAGAGAGAGACAGATTAAGAGTATGTAAATTACTTGAGTCTGATCGTCTCTCAACAGTGTTCAGCAGCAATGTCTCTAATAATAGCGAAACTGTAAGTTAATCTGTTTCAAGAACAGCGCTGTTTTTACCTCACTTGTGAGAAATGTCATATAGCTTTTAAGTTGCTGAACTATTTTACTGATAAAGAGCACTGATACAGAGCGGCACGGACAACACATTTCTTTTTTTTTTCTCATTTTGTCTCTCATAGTTGAGGTATACCTATGATGAAAATTACAGGCCTCTCTCATCTTTTTAAGTGGGAGAACTTGCACAATTGGTGGCTGACTAAATACTTTTTTTCCCCACTGTATGTGTGTGTGTACGTTTGAGTGGGAGAAAGAGAGTATGTGCTTTCCCTACATGGTAAAATGTAACTTTATGTATACTAGATTTTCTTGCTTGGTCAGTGTCGTTGTGGGTTTTGGTTCTTTTGCTGTTGTAGGCTGTAAGGCCCTTTGAATTAACTGGAATCATTTGGTGAAATGATATGGACATGTAATGTGGTCAAGACCTGCCTGGAACTACTTTAGGCATGTGTTTCCCTGAAAATAATTGCACACCTTAGAACGTTCATCAGCCAATCAGATTCAAGCATTCAACAGCCCCGTAGTATAAACTATTGTAACACACGGTATAGAGGCAAAGGACCATCTGACATGCAGTGGAGGGTGGTTGCCTCCATGGAAGTACTTGACCACTTATTTAAGCACTTATGTACCTGATATTCCTGATCATCAATGGAGAACCGCTCCCTCAGATTGCGGAAGACTAGAGGACAGTACTCCTTAAACTTGAAATGGCTTGGCATGTTCTCTCTTTGGAAGTAAAAGGTGCAAAAGCTGATAACTAACAAAAGCAAAGAACTTTTCCATGACATTCTAATTTATTGAGATGCACCTGTACATAGCAAAATTATCGCATAAAGTTAAGATCTTTCTTACTTGTTGAAGAGGTGGTTGTCCACCTTGATCTTTGAGTTGGCTTTGAAGTCATCAGGCATCAGCATAACAGGAATCTGGATGTGACTGAGTTCATTGATCTGGAAGAAAATAACAGGGAGAAAATTATTCAATAATGCCAGATTACAAAATAATTTGAACAGCTGAGGCATATCTAAAATAGCTTTTTATCTGTTGTACAGGAGACTTCTGGACCTGCTCCAAATGAATAAATCAGAGCGTTTTCTTATTTACCGAGAACTATCTGCAGTACAGGGGCCATTCCTCAAAATGTGCTGCACTGATGGACCGCTGCCAAGAAACAACTTCCTTTCACTAACAACAGCAGCAGTGAAAAACAGAGCCGTCTGCACCAACAGAGTAAGCATTACTTATTGGCCAGACTGTCCACTTCCTTTTTTATCGTTTTAAATAATTCAGTACACGACAAGTGGTCTTTCATGAGCAATAGCACATGCATGACTACACTTAAACTCAAGTCAGTTGACTGAGAAAGGTGCCTACTTAACTAAGGATAACCAGATTTTGGTGTACACGTCCGTTTGTCTTACATGGTGGAATCTAACCTGGCTATTTGACATATACCCCCCCC